GAGAGACATCTGACCTGAACAAGGAGGAGCTAACGGGCCCCCCAGACTGAGAGCTGGGAATCCAGCAAAGGGCTGACTCAAGCCCTCCTGAATATGGGTCCCAGCCAGAAGGACTGAGCAGTCTAAGGGACCTGAGACAGTGGAACCAGGATGTATTCCTTGTGCACAAAAGGACCTTGCAGACACATCCCCCCATGGAGGGATACTCCCTTAACCTAGAGACAGGAGAGAAGTCTTAGTCCCTACTTCAAATGACTTGACAGATGTACATGACCCCACCTGGATGACATTGCCCTACATGTGGAATTGGGGTGGGGGGCTGGGAGGGCAGGGTGGTCAGGGTGCATGTGAGGGGGAAGAGGGAGGGAGGGAGAGGGAACTGAGATGGACATGTAAAATAAAAAATTAATTAAAAAAAGGAAAAAAAGAAATATTTTATACAGGAAAGCAGAGTGAAACGATTAGAAGTTTTACTCTAAACAATAAATAAAACATGTTTTTAAAGGCAAAACACACACACACATACCCACACACACACAAAACAACAACAAAAAAATAAAAAACAAAAACAAAAAAAAAGAAGTAGGGTAACTAGGTGTGGTGGCACAAGCCTTTAATTCCATACTCGGGAGATAGAGGCAAGCAGATCTCTGTGATTGCTAAGTAAACCTGGTTTACAGAGTTAATTCCAGGGCAGATAAAAAAGTTACACAGAGAAACCCTGTCTCAAAAAACTAAAAAATAGAAGTAGAAGAAATAGAGTAATAAAAAAGCCACGAAGCCATGTAAAGATGGAAAGCACAGAGGAACTTGGATACCATATGCTGTTCTGTTCTGTTTAAATTGTTTGATTGCTGAGGAGGTAATAACTGTTAAAAGAAATACTGCAGGATTAATTCAATTTATATATTTTAAAAATTAAGTTCAGACCAGTTCTATTTTGTTCAAACTGGTTTAGACCTGCTCAGATCAATTCTATCCAGTTCAAACCAGTTCAGACTGGTTCAATCCGGTTCAGACCATTAGAGACCTATTTTATCCAACTCGATCTGGTTCAGACCAGTCCTATCTGGTTCAGACCTGGTCAAACTTGGTCTATCTGTTTCAGACTGTTTATCTCCAGCTCAGACCGGGTTGATACTGTTTAAGCCTGTTCAGACTGCTTCGATACGGTTTATACTGGGTTGATCCTGTTTGGACCGGTTCAGACCGGTTCAATCCGGTTTAGACCGGTTCTATCTGGTTCATACCGGTTTGATCTTGTTTAGTTCGGTTCGATCTGGTTCTATCTGGTTCAGACCGGCTCGATGCAGTTAAAACCGGTTTAGACAGGTTCGACTGAGTTTAGACCAGTTTGATCCAGTTCAGACTGGTACAGACCTGTTTGATCCAGTTCAGACCGGTTGGATCAGTTTGAGAGTCACAATGAGTCATGCCATGCCTAGTACTGTTGGGGACCATCACCATCCTCACAACCTCATATCTCTCAGGCAGAAAATTACTGCCTCTTAAAGAAATAAACAATGTTCAGCAGAACATTCCAAGGTACAGGCTTGTGGTCTCACAGCCAATTAAAGAATAGCTCAGGGCTCTCTCTCCTGCTGCAGTTTAACAGCCAGCTAAAGAGTAGCTAACCAGCTCAGGGCTATCTCTCCTGCTGCAATTTACAGCCAATTACAGGTTAGCTAAACAATTCAGGACATTTCTTCTACTGACCTTCTCACTCTGCCTATGTGCCAGTGCCCATGCCCTGGCTATGCTCAAATCCTGCTCACATCCTGCCCACGGTCCTATATAAGCCTCCCCCGAGAAAATGAAATTTATCAGCTTGAAAAAAAATGCTTGGACTTCATAATTTAAGTCTAAGTACAAGTTACTGGGGAAAAGGATTTCTAATTTTGTTTCCACAGAAAATGAAAAGCTGAGGATTTCTTCTAGACTAATGTGGTTTGATCAAGTAAGTCCCCCTGAAACAGAGTCCCAGGTGATCCAACATTCAAAACAGTTGGGACAAGGCCCCCTTACAGATTACAGCCAGGATTTCTGCATCTCCTTCGGATCCTCGATGACAGCGCCCCCTACCAGCAAGAAGCAGTTTGGAAAGAACACCGCCTAAATTCCCAAATATTGTTTATAAATGTTTGTTGTCATTTAAATGGGCTTGGTTATAAATGGTTAATGATCACAACCAATTCTTTTAAGGGTAAAAAGGGGATTATGTTATAGAGATGAATACTTTGTTTTAAAATGGATTTTCATTTATTGATACAATGTAAGGTCAATTTTGTGATGTGTATATTTCTCCTCTTGTTTAGGTATTGTGTTTATATAGCTTATTTAAAAATGTAATATATAATTTAATACAGATTATAGATAGTTACCTATGATATTCAAAACTTAGAATTAAGTTAGTGATGGGAGAGGTCATTCTGTATGTTTCTCATACTGGTTAATAATAAAGCACTGTTGGCCAATAGAAAGGAAGATAGGAGGGACTAGGAGACAAGGAGAAAATAGGAAGTAGTAGGGAGGAGTCAAGATGGATATTCTGGAGAGAGCTGGACGCCAGCCACCTCCCGGTAAGAGAAGGCCATGTGAAAATACATAGATCAACAGAAATGGGTTAATAATTAAGGCAGAGCTAGCCGATAAGAAACAAGTAACCGGGCCAACAGCATTGTATCAAATACAGAGTCTCTGTGTATTATTTGGGGCTGGCGCAGCGGCGGGACAAGACCGGGCGGCGACAGGCGAAAAAACTTACTTGTTACAAATGGCGTGTTGTAGCACACGCCTTTAATCCCAACACTCAAGAGACAGAGGCAAGCAGATCTCTGTAATTTGTAAAGTAAACCTGGTATGCTGAGTAAATTCCAGGACAGATAAGAGTTACACAGGGACAGTAAAACCCTATGTCAAAAAATAAAAAAATAAAAGTAAAATAAACAGAGTAATAATAAAGCCACGTAAAGATGAAAAGCTCAGAGAGAATCTGGTTACTGTATGCTATTATGTTGTCTCTACATTGTTTGACTGCCGAGAAAATAACAACAACTGATAAAGGAAATGCTGCTGGATTAATTCAATTTATATATTTTAAAAATGCTTTGACTCAAAAATTTAAGTCTAAGGACAAGTTACTGGGGAAAAGAATTTCTATTTTTGTTTCCACAGAAAATAAAAAGCTGTGGATTCCTTGCAGACTAATGTGGTTTGATCAAGCCAGGCCCCCTGAAACAGAGTCGCTGGTGATCCAACATTCAAAACAGCTTGGACAAAGCAGCCTCGCAGACTACAGCCAAGATTTCTGCAACTTCTTAGGATCCCCATGACAGTGCCCCCTATCAGCAAAAAATAGTTTAAAAAGAACGACGCCCAAATTCCCAAATGTTTATAAATGTTTGTTTTCATTTAAATGGACTTGGGTATAAATGGTTAATGATCACAGCCAGTTCTTTTTAAAGGTAAAAAGGGAATTATGGTATAGATATGAATACTTTGTTTTGGAATAGATTTTCATTTATTGATACAATTTAAGGTCAATAAGGTGATATGTATATTTCTCCTCTTGTTTAGGTATTGTGTTTATTGAGCTCAGTTAGAAATGTAATGTATAATGTAGTACAGATTATAGATAGTTACCTATGATAGTTAGAACTTATAGTTAAGTTAGTTAGTATTTCTAGATATACAGACATATATTTGAGATGGATAGGCATTCTTCAAACCTTTCAAAGACCTACAGAATATGGCATCTAAAATGGTTTAGGGTTTTTCTTGACAATGAGACATAATTGTTCCTGGCAACACCACCTGCGTCAGAAAGGAAGATGAAGATGGACATTGAAGAAACTCATTATGGAGTTTACTTCCAATATGGCAAGACTAGCCATTTGGACAAGATACTCCTCTTGTCTGGACTGTTTGACTTTGTGATGTATAAACTGGACATGCAGGACCCACAGGAAAGTGACTTCTGATTCAAGATGGACATTGCTAACAGAGATCCTGCTTCATGGAAGAGTCTGCGAGACAGTATGCAGGACACAGACAAAAGTGACTGACAAACTGCCAATACAAGAAGACAGTTTAAAGTTTCCTGCGTTGCTGAAGAGTCTGCCAGACACACTATGGCCTATGGGCTGAAGATGGAAGGTTACAAAAGAACTTCGGGTGACCAGGCAGTGAGTTGTCTCTGTCATTTCTAGAGTTTATGTACTATCCTTCTGTGGTCTTTGAAGGAGTTGAAGACAGATAGTAATGGTTATAGTTTTCATTAGTTAGGATTAAAGATAAGTTACTTAGACTTTAGACACACAAAGATAGAATAGATGATGAAATATTTTCTTCAAATCTTGCTAAATGTTAATGGACTAAATGTTGTTAACTGTGATTGTTACTTGATAACTGTTGTATAATATATTTTGCTATGTTAAGGTTAAAACCCTTCTTTTTATTTAGACAGAAAAGAGGAGATGATGGGAGAGGTCATTCTGTATGTTTCTCATACTGGTTAATAATAAAGCACTGTTGGCCAATAGAAAGGAAGATAGGAGGGACTAGGAGACAAGGAGAAAATAGGAAGTAGTAGGGAGGAGTCAAGATGGATATTCTGGAGAGAGCTGGACGCCAGCCACCTCCCCGGTAAGAGAAGGCCATGTGAAAATACATAGATCAACAGAAATGGGTTAATAATTAAGGCAGAGCTAGCCGATAAGAAACAAGTAACCGGGCCAACAGCATTGTATCAAATACAGAGTCTCTGTGTATTATTTGGGGCTGGCGCAGCGGCGGGACAAGACCGGGCGGCGACAGGCGAAAAAACTTACTTGTTACAAGTTAGTTAGGTTTTCAAGATACACAGAGATGTATTTGAGATGGATAGGCATTCTTCAAATGTTTCAAAGACCTACATAATATGGCATTTAAAATGGTTTGGGGTTTTTCTTAACAGTGAGGTACAACTGCTCCTGGCAACACCACCTGCATCAGAAAGGAAGATGGACCTGGAAGAAACACGGTATGGAATTTACTTTCAATATGGCAAGACTTGCCATTTGGGCAAGATACTGCTCTTGTCTGGACTGTTTGACTTTATGATGTATAAACTGGACTTGCAGGACCCACAGGAAAGTGACTGTTGATACAAGATGGACATTGCTACAGGGTTTCTGCTTCATAGAAGAGTCTGCTAGACAGTCTGCAGGACACAGAGAAAAGTGACTGACAAATTGCCAATACAGGTGGGCAGTTTAAAGTTTCCTGCTTTGCTGAGGAGTCTGCCAGACACACTAAAACCTATGGGCTGAAGATGGAACATTACAGAAGAACTTCAGGTGACTGACCAGGCGGTGAGTTGTCTCTGTCATTTCTAGAGTTTATATATTATCCTTCTGTGGTCTTTGAAGGAGTTGAAGACAGATAGTTATGGTTATAGTTTTCTTTAGTTAGGATTAAACATAAGTTACATATAGGACTTCAGACTCACAAAGATAGGATAGATGATGAAATATTTTCTTTAAATCTTGCTAAACGTTAATGGACTAAATATTGTTAACTGTGGTTCTTATTTGATAACTGTTTTGTTATACATTTTGCTATGGTAAGGTTAAAAACCTTCTTTTTATTTTAGACAGAAAAGAGAAGATGATGGGAGATGCCATTCTATAAATATGTTTCTGTTATTGGTTAATGAATAAAGCACTGTTAGCCAATAGCAAAGCAACATAGGCAGGACTAGGAGACTAGGAGAAGAAAGGAAGTAGGAGGGAGGAGATCCAAGATGGAGGATAGAGAGAAGAATGCCCGCCCCTCTCTCCGGTAAGATAAGACCACATGGAAATACTTAGATTAATAGAAATGGGTTAATAATTAAGACAGAGCTAGCCGATAAGAAACAAGTAACTGGCCTACAGCTTTTTTATCTAATATATATATATATATATTTATATTGCACACAATTCTCAAAGGACTAATAAAATGAAAGAAAAATTTAAAGAATAAGATAATAACAGAAAGGAAAAAGAACATCCAGCATTCACTATCTTCTATTATCATCGTTGCATAGTGAAGAAATCCCAGAGTGTCACACTATTGGGCCATATGAAAACAGTCTTTGTCTATATAAAGGCTATGAGTTCATGACACACCCACAGTCAAGATCAAAGAACAATGATGATGCTCAGCCTACTTTCTCCATTATTAATACAATCTAGACTCCCTGGTCAGGAAAACAGTGCTTCCCACAGTGGACAGGTCTTCCCACCTCACTTAACATCATCGAACAATTCCTGTCCTCCCCAGACACACCCACAGGCCAATCTAATATAGACAATCTCTCATTGAGACTCTGTCCCAAGAGATTCTGGATTGTGTTAAATTGACGATTGAATCTAACCATCATAGCAGCCCAACCACCTCAGTTGTGACTCTTGGAGTTGCATGATTGTGTGTAGATATTGCACACAACTTTAGGAATTTTTTTCTGAATATGCAAGAACCCCAAAATTGTGCGGCTGCGCAACCCCCGATGGCGGCTCTGTCTGCGTGTGCGCGACTCAGGTCGGCCGCGCCTTGGCGGATGAAGAGCTCGAGGCGCTGAGGAAGCAGAGGCTGGTGGAGCTGCAGGCCAAGCATGGGGATCCTGGTAATGCAGCCCAACAGGAAGCAAAGCAAAGGGAAGCAGAAATGAGAAATAGTATCTTAGCTCAAGTTCTGGATCAGTCAGCCCGGGCCAGGTTAAGTAACTTAGCACTCGTAAAACCTGAAAAAACTAAAGCAATAGAGAACTACCTTATACAGATGGCAAGGTACGGACAACTAAGCGGGAAGGTGTCAGAACAAGGGCTAATAGAAATACTTGAGAAAGTCAGCCAACAGACAGAAAAGAAGACAACAGTTAAATTCAACAGAAGAAAAGTAATGGACTCCGATGAAGATGAAGATTACTAAGAGGAAATTCTCAGACAGACTTACGGAGCAGTGTCTAGGGCAGTTACAACCTTTAAATGTTTACTTTGTTTATTATCTATATATGCCTTTTGAAAAAAAATAAACTTGTTGCTCAAACTGAAGCAGTTTGAGTGTTTCAGAATCACAGGCAACTCACAAGAAGATCTGTTTTGGGCAGTCGTTCCAAAAACTTTTAAATGGTGGCAGTGCAAGTTTACCCATTGCCGCTGGACATTAACATGGTGGAGGATTAGAAGCTGTGCCAGCATGCCTCAGCAGCCAGAGACATCAAGGGAATGAAAACCCTGGGCAACTGAATCAGCTTTAAGATCTCAGCACATCCAGCATTCTTCAGGCAGAACTTGCAAAAACAAGGACATGTCCTTTCGCTGCAGGTAGCATTTCAGATTTAATTTACTTTTCAGAGGCGTTGCGGTTCCATTATCCAACAAATACCACTCTGATCAAAACAACTAGAGTGTTACTTTTGCGAAATACCTAGGACACCCTGTGGTAACTGTTGAACGGTGACATGTTTACAAGGGGAGTAGGCTGGAGTGAGTGATGGTTGAGTGCTGACGAGCACAGGACACAAGTTCTTTTCCCAACACCCATGTTGGGCAGCTCACAACAGCCTGTGCCTCCAACTCCTGGGGCTCATACACCCTCTGGCCCCAGAAACCTACGCATGACCTCCCTTACAAGCACATACCTGACTAAAAAGAATGCAAGTAACTAAACTGTCAGTTTGTGTTCAGGATTGCACCATCACAGTTGGGATCTGCTAAAGGGTTTTGTGGGGGATTTTGTTGAGAGGGTTTTGTTGAATATGTTGAATTTGTTGTTACTGTTAGGTCCAAAGCTGGTCTCAACTCTCCATTTAGCCAAGGATGACCTCAGGCTCATGATCTTCCTGCCTCCACATCTCTAGTGCTCAGATTACATACATGTACCACCACACCTGGTCTGTGTGGTGTTAGGACTTGAACATAGAACTTCATGAGTATTAAGGGAACAATGCTAACTGAGGCACAGCCTCAAATTACCACTTATGCTTAAAATTTGCTTTATGGTGCATATGAAATGCTAGAAAGATACACGACATGTCTGTGCAAATTGTGTTACATGTTTCATTAAAATCACCAGTCCTAATGCCTAATGGCTGAGGTGCGATAAAGGACACCTGGGAATGGAAAGTTAGTACTGAAAACAGCTAGCATGCTATGTGTGGTTAGCCTGCCGGCATGGAGCTGCAAGTACTTGGAATTACAAACACACAGATTTGAGCTTTGCCAATTTTTAATAGCCATGTCAAGTTTTCCTTTCAAGTGGGGAAAGCAGCTGCAAAAATGTGGAACAATAGTTGCTGTACACTGCTCTGCTCCCTGCAGTGGTCAGCAAGAGGCTGCACTATCAAGCTGGAGCGCTCCACTCAGATGCCGGTGTCTGCCAGTAAACCATGAGGGCGTGGAGCCAGACTAGTGCACAGCAATAAAGTAGTGGTGTTAAAAATGAAATAGGAAGGGCTTCTTCAGAGGACCTGCATGGGAGTCCCAGCACCCACAGGGTGCCTCACAGCCACCTATAACCCCAGTCGCAGGGGATCTGATGCCTTCTTTCCTATGTGGGTGTGAGGCACATAAACAGGAAAGCAGGTCAACACCCATCCTCACTGAATGGGAAAGAGAAGAGTCTACAAACTGACAGAGCACACGGTCTCATTCTTTGTCAGCAGACTGATGATGGGAGATGTCATTTTGTATATGTTTCTCATACTGGTTAATGAATAAAGCACTGTTGGCCAATAGGAAAGGAAGATAGGCGGGACTAGGAGACAAGGAGGAAAAAGGAAGTAGGAAGGAGGAGCCAAGATTGAGAATCTGGAGAGAATAGAACCGCCAGCCGCCTCTCGCTGTTAAGACCACGTGGAAATACATAGAAATGAGTTAATAATTAAGACAGAGCTAGCCGATAAGAAACTAGCACCTGGCCAATAGCATTGTATCAAATACAGAGTCTCTGTGTGTTATTTGGGGCTAGCTGGCGCGGCTGCGGGACAAGAGTGGCAGCGGGCGGAAAAACCGTACTCGTTACAAATGGCGCCCAACGTGGGCATTCTGTATATGTTTCTCATACTGGTTGATAAATAAAGCACTGTTGGCCAATAGGAAAGGAAGATAGGAGGGACTAGGAGACAAGGAGGAAGAGGAAGTAAGAAGGAGAGCCAAGATGGAGAGTCGGGAGAAAGCAGTATGCTGGCCGACTCCCAGGTAAGAGAAATACATAGATCAGCAGAAATGGGTTAATAATTAAGGCAGAGCTAGCCGATAAGAAACAAGTAACTGGGCCAACAGAATTATATCTAATACAGAGTCTCAGTGTATTATTTGGGGCTGGCAAGGCGGCAGGACAAGACCAGGCCAGGCGGCGGGAGGAAAAACCATACTCCCTACAGACCGCTTTCATTATTTTCTGTGCTGATGCAGGCCTGTAATCACAGCTCCTTGGGAAACTGAGGCAGTAGGAACAAAAGTCCAAGGCTAGCCTGGGCGACTTAAATACCACCAGGAGTGTCTTTGTGGGCACTTTGAGAATTGTGTATGCCATTGACCCATCTTCACTACATTGACCCTGAGCAGGTAGGTGTGATGGGTGATGGTCTGCTCAGTGATCTAGCTGTGTGTCCCAGTCACTTTAAATACAGGACACACTGCACCATTCCATAAGGATGCTTTCCATACAGTACAGTGTTGTGTAGGACCACCACTCTGAGCAGGTAGATGTGATGGTCTTCTCTGAGTGACCTAGGTGTGTGCCCTGGTGACCATTAAATATAGGACACACTGCATCTATCCCATGAGGATGCTTTCCACACAGCACAGTGTTGTGTAGGCACTCTGCCATCTTCATTGCATCAGCTGGCCCACTTGCAAAAGATCATTGCAGCTGGGTGTGCTGAGGGATGGGGGAGACAGTCATGGGCTCCTGAGTTGAATGTCCTATCTTCCCAGGGAGAAAATGTCACAACAGGCTTACAAAAGGGTGACTGAGAAACTGCACAGCAAAATAAAAAAAGCTTGCGTGATATGCTCAAGAAAAAAAAAAAAAGAACCCCAAAATTCAAAATTGAAACTGTAATGAACAGGGGCATTGCTGGATGCTCTCGCCTACATTGTGCCACAGAAATGTGGGTCCTGAACACACAGCGTGTACATTCTACATCACAGGTGCTGCAGTTCCATGGAACATCAGTGTACTCTGCCTGAAACACATTGGCTCTGACTCAAGACTATTATGTGTTATGAATTTTATTGTTGCATATACAAAGTATGCTACTCTTAAATTGCTTAATTATGCAAAACATATCTCTTAGTATTTTTTTTTTGCCATTCTTTCCAGTTTCCCTTAAGATGGTATTATGTTAGAAGCCCTGGTTAAAAAAAAAATTGCTCTTGGATTTGTTGATCTGGATTTTTAAAAAAAAATTAAATAAATTTTGGCTTGGGATTAACGCAGAATTTCCAATGATCTGAAACAGCCCTGGAGACACGTCTGCCATGTTGTACCATGTAGCCTTTGATGATTATAATATCAATGAACTCTGCAAAAACATTGAGGATGTATCATATCCTATAGTATCAAACGTGTAGCCAGGATTTTATTCTTTATGTAAAAAAAATAAACAAATACAGCCAACTCATTAATATTCAAGTATTAATGTTGATCTTTAATAAACATTAAAATAATATGTGTCAAATAATTGCTTTAGAATATATTTCTTTATGATTTAATACGCTAGTATTTAATACACTGCTTTGTTTGTGTTCTAATTAGCTTTAATTGTCAACTTGACACAACTTAAGGTCATCTGAGAGAAGAACCTGGATTGAGGAATTGCCCAGATCACCTTGGCCTATGAGCATGACTGCAGGTAACTGTCTTGATTAGTGATGTCAAATGGTCAAGCTTGATGTGAGCATCATCTTGGGTAAGTGTGCCTGGGCTGAATGAGAAGCAAACTGAGCTTCAGCTGGTGAGTGAACTGGAGAAAGAGCCAGCAGGCTGTGTTCTTTCATGGTTTCTTTCTTTTCAAGCTCTTCCTTGAGTTCCTGCCCTCACTTCCTGCAATGATGAACTGAAACCTGGAAGTGCAAACCAAATAAATCTTCCCTCTGCTGAGTTGCCTTTGGTCAGAGTGTTTCATTATAGCCCCGGCAAGGAAACTAGAGTGATTCTTAATGTTTTCTTTGTACCCAAATAACTAAATACTGACATTGCATGAGTTTCTTATGTAGAGGGGGCTGAGAGTAGAACAGGTTTAAACAGCTTTTCATTTTTGTTTTAATATGCTGTGGTTTGAGAAATGATGAAACTGGGCTCATTAGGGTTATTTGTGAAGCAAGAGCAGGCTCTGAGAAAGAGCAGAGATCTCTTTAGATAAGGTACACTGGCTCTGTGCATGAAGATACCATATGCTGGGATGAATATCCAATTGTGGATGGCACCATCAGTTTACTTCATCACAAAAGTGCCTTTAAATAAATGAGGTAATTAATACAAGTAAGAGAGCTTGGTAGCCAATTAAAACACATCACATTTGCATAGTGTGATGGTTTGCTTTAATTGTCAACTTGAGAGAATCTAGACTTACCTGGAAGAAGGACTTCTGGGTGAGTCTGCGGGAGATTCTCTGGATTGCTTTAATTAACATGGGAAGATACATCCACTATGGGTGGAGCCATTCCCTGGACTGTACGGATGGAGAAAGAAAAGCTGAACATTGGTACTCATTCTCTGCTTTCTGACTGTGGACACAATGTGACCACCTACTTCAAGCTCCTGCTGCCTTGGTGTCCCCACTACAGTACCCTTGAATAGTGAGGCAGCATAAACCTCTTTTCCCAGCATCTGAGTATTTATCACAGCATAAGACACCAAGTCACGTGTTCTTTTCCCACGCTTTATTTTCCCATGTGGCTTACTTCTGCCTCTTCAAGTCG